CAACAAACGGTGACTTGATTACCATTGTGTCTCCAAACAACTATTTCTCAGCATCATTCCCTACCATTAAATTTCTTGATAATTTTTCAATTGATATACCCGATAGGGCTCGAATCAATGCTATTTTTCAATCAAACGCAGGACGGTCCTATACCTTTTATAATAATATGTCATATATAGAATTTTCTAACGATTTTACTGATGTGTTGAACAGAGGACGGATAAGAGACATATTTCCTGAATTACCTGAAGATATTTCTCTCGCATTTCGATGGATTGATGGCCATATTTACTTTTTCCGTCACGCAACTTACTATAAATTTAATGAATTTACAAGAAAAGTTGTTGCGACCGGACCATTTCATTGGACTCTATTTGGAGTACCATGCCCCAGCGAGGATTTGTTACATCAACTAAAAACTCTGTTATCTAAACTTGTATCTGTATATCATTAAAAAATACATTTTTCAGAAAGCTATGTTTATTTCGTATTCAGCCTGTTGTCAAACAAAAAAAAAAACAGTCGGTTCCTTCGACTCCCCACCCCCCCACCATCATTCTACTACATAAAGTTTCATTTTGAACGGTATCATCCTGTATAATAATAACAGTACATCGTTATGAGACATTCTGACCGACCGACCGACCGACCAGAGGAGCCCACCACGCTATTTAGGTCACGCCTTGCTATATACGATTTAACGATATACCGTCGGTCCATCGATCCGCTATTTTTCGATGCACCCCTGTATACACGTTGCCCCCCGTAATCCACGCCAACACCAGACAGGTGCGACATCGGCGCCATCTATGCGCGAGATGCCCAACCCATCAATGGCAGCTGTCCAATGACACATAGATTCCGTTTGGTTTGTACAGCGCCAAACAAATCGGCGCCATCTATGCGCGAGATGCCCAACCCATCAATGACAGGTGTCCAATGACACATAGATTCCGTTAGGTTTGTACACCGCCAAACAAATCGGCGCCATCTATGCGCGAGATGCCCAACCCATCAATGACAGGTGTCCAATGACGTATGACAGATGACGTTTTAACGCCATCTATGCGTGAGATGCCCAATGACGCATGACAGGTGTCCAATGACACACAGATTCCGTTTGGTTTGACAGCGCCATCTAGCGGCGGAATCCCCAACTCATGATTACAGATTCCGTCCAACAACCTGTCAATGGCGCGCGACGCCAGCGCCTCTGGTGGCGGATTTTGGAAGTTTTGAGACCGAATCCCCATAAGACATCTACTCAGAGGCTTCGCGAGACGTAGAACTGATTGTGTGGGTTTGGAATACCGCTTGTGTTCCTCAAGAAGTTCGAAACTATCGGAATCTTTACCGCAGTATATATATGCGTTATAGAGGTAGCTATTCCTTGCATCCGTCAATGCCATAATTTTTATGCCATATTTGCAAGGTTTCGCAGGCATATACATTTTAAATCGACATCTTCCTCTGAAACTCACGAGCATTTCATCGACAGTGACAGACTGGCCAACTCCGTACACATCTTGACAGTTCTTTATAAAACTATTAAAAATGAAAGATATTGGTGCTACTGGATCTAGCTTCTTTCTTTCATTCCTGTCATCTGGGTTATCAAACCTTAAGGCTGACAGGAGAATACCAAATCGTTTTATGTTCATGACAGCTCTGAATATATCTCTTCCAGAGCCATCGGTGGCAAAAAGTGTTTCAATGTTCTCGTGGTTGCTGTTGAACACCGATGTATATACTAAGAGACCCAATAGTGCCTTTATTTCGACTAAATCAGTAACGTTTAGGTTGCTGGTTTGATTTTTGTATCTCTTTCGCATTTCTTTGAGCTTGTGATTGGTCCACTTAACGATATGTACCAACATGTCGTCAGTGAACAAAAGCTGCCAAACCGTCAACGGAGCTGCTTCTTCTCCATATTCATGAGCTTTTCCTCTTAGAGTTGGTACTTTAATGACTATATTGTGCTTCCTTGTACGTGATGATGGTACAACTTCCGAAATATTCTACCTATGACGATTTTTTCCATAGAAATAATTCTGAGCTGGTAAATCCTCTTCATTTCCTTCGGCTCCGTCTTCTGATAACTCACTATCACTTGTATGATCTGATTCCATGTATTCGTCTTCTGAGGCACTGTCTATATCACTAAAGTCACTTCCTTCATCCTCAAACCATTTTAGAACGGTTTCTTCGAACTCCGGATCATCGTATCGTACACGTTTAGAAGGTCCCGCCATACTCGCAAACGCACCTATGCAACACAAATAGCAAACGGGAACGGAAACGTGCTGTCTGACAGACTGCAACAAACTAAAATTGGTCCATATTTTAAGGCACGTTTTGGCTAGACTCGTGTGAATGGGGGTGGGCGATGGTCACTAATAGCTTATGGATTAGATGGGTTTTTACGTCTGTTAGAGGTGCAATAAAAAAAGATACGCTCAGGTATAGAAACGCCGCAGTCTCACAGACGGCACCTTTCCGGTTAAGGGTTAAGACCTCACAGGGGACCTCACGATCAAATACAGGTCCGCACTGAAATACTTGTCGGGAGGATACTTTATAAAACAAGGTAACATTTTTTTTTATTTTTACACACATATTTTGGTTTATCTTCCTTCTACAATCATTATCTGAAAATTAATGACTCAACTTCAAAGTCACCCTGTATCATATTTTGGTTTATTAAATTCAAGTAATCCATTCTGAAATATTGATTTGCTAGTTATATTACTATTGCAATTTTGTAAATGAAAATCTATATTTCCTCTTCTATAATAATTGCGGTAATGGTTATTCAATTTGTAGTGTTCTAAATGTTCTGGCAAAAGATGATTTTTTATTTTAAATATAAAAATAAGAACCAAATATAATATGAAATTTTGTATATTCAACCACTGCAATTCTTGTAACATAGATTTTATTTTAGTGTACTTATTTTTATTCAATATTATTCTCATAGCTTTATTTTGCAAGACTTGTAATTTTGAGCATTGGCAGTGAACAAGATAGTTGAACAATATATTAAATGGGGTAGAATAATTATAAACTATTTTCTTGGTATAGGTACCAAGACTATGAGAAGCCCTATAAAAGTAATTTTTTTTTGGAAATTTTTGAAATAATGTATTCATAGTGATCCTCAAACTTTAGTTTTTATATTTAATTAATTCAACATTTTCAATTATTTCTCCATTTATCCTAACTGTGATAGTATTTTCATTTAGGTATTTCCCTATTAGCAAACATTTTGTTTTAGAAGTATTCAATTTTAGTTTATTTACATTTAACCAATTTACGATTTTTGCAAAGTCAGAATTTAGCATTTTTAAAGCAGTGTCTATATTTTCATCTGATATGTATACCAGTATTAATGTATCATCTGCAAATATCTGAAGATTACAATAATCTAAAATATTATAAATGTCATTAATGTATAAAATAAATAGTAGTGGACCTAGTTTACTACCTTTTGGTATACCAACAGAAATATTTTTTGATCTTGATAATGTAGATCCAATTTTGGTTTGTTGACTTCTGTCAATTAAATAGTTTTGTAGAATTTTGAATACAGATCCTTTAAATCCGTAGTGATGCAATTTTGTAAGTAATTTATAGCTGTCAATAGTCTCAAACGCCATTTTGAAGTCCAAAAACACTGTTACTGTATGTTTCAGATTGTCCATACATCTCCTCCAGTCCTCTAAAACCATTTGTGTTGCCGTTTCAGTTGAGTGTTTCTTCCTGAATCCAGCTTGAAATTTGGTTAAAATGTTATTTCCCTCAATAAATTCGATGATCTGTTCGTAAATAATTTCTTCAAAAACTTTTTCAAAATCTGGCAGAACATTTATTGGCCGCATATTGGTGTACAACTCAGAATTAAAAAAAAATTAAGCCTAGTCTTCCGCATTCTTACTAGTAAGCACATACTTGATGACGTTTTCCACAACCCCAAAACGAGACTGTCAGTTGCTTAGTTGAAGCAACACAGGCGAAGTGGAAATCAAGGTGAATTCGAGTTGCCGTCGGTTTGATTTGAATGAAAAGTGTGACTGAGACTTAACGTTGCCACATGGCATTAGAAATTAGACAATCTATCGTCATCACGAAATTATTGAAAAGGCGGCACCTGAAAGTTTCACTCTACATATTATGGAATATAGCCGTAATGTGGCTATTGTCTTGCATCGCCAAACAGTACTCCAAATGATAATAGTTCCTCGAAAGAAAATCGAACAATGTGCTTAAGCGGTGCAAGCGTGTAAATATTTTAGTCGACATCCCAACTTGAGAGTTGTCATTTGAGTTTTGTTACCCCTGTGATGAGAGGACCGTTCATTAAATGATGTTTTCTAAATCACAGGATGTTTCTATGGGTACTGCTTCAATACGTCACATGTAACAAAATATCAATCAATTTTCAATTTGAAACCTTTATTTTATATAGACTATGTTACATATGATGCATTTGGCATATATACAGGATGGCCCAACGAAAAGTTCGCACCCCTATTTGTGACTCTCCTGGTACATTTTGGAAAAACCGGATCTGTGTCTAATATTCGCCGTAATCGCCATCGAATAAAATCGACCAGTTAGAAATGAAGCCGCAGAAATAACAGTTTAGGGACACGTGGTACTTGACAACATCCAAAGCACTCGTGGACTGGCTACTTCTTCAGGATTTACACGCTCAACAGTACAAAGAATTTTGAAAGACAATAAATTTCACCCGTACAAGATAAACTTGTTCATGAACTTAATGAAGACGATTTTGATAGAAGGACGGAGTTTTGTTATTTAATATTTTTTTCTCGGATGAGTGTACGTTCAATTAACATGGTGCTGTAAATTGACATAACTGTCGATATTGGAGTGACTCGAATCCATATTTGTTTCGGGAGGTAAACTCGCATTATCCTGAAAAAATGAATGTGTGCACCGGCATTTTCGGAAATCATATTGCAGGACCTTGTAATAGTAAGTAATTTTAAATTCTTTTTTCAGGTCAAATATCCATATGTGATACGTGTTCGCATGGCTTCCATATCAGCTGTCACAATCGACCACTATCTCAAACTCCAAAGCAGTGTCCTAAGTGTATGATCAAAGAGATAAGGACTGTTGGAGCGTTGAACGTACCGTCTGGAATGACTGTTTCCTACATTAATACTCCAGAGTATGCAGGTAAAATATTATGGTCTTGGTTTCAGAATAGGTCGTAGCAGTACGGTATCCCAGATATCACGAAATCTCCGTATAATACAGGGAAAATAAAATTTGTTTGACGGCTTGACTTCAATGTGTACGAGAGAGATGTCAGAAAGAGATAGAAGCCGGCTGAAGAGCTAAGGTCTTCACCACATTGCCTAGCAACGGTGACGCAGGTCGTGCAATGTGCCGCTTTGCCAATATATTGATGATTTAATTTATTTTAGAATCATCTTTGATTTTACACCGATGGTGATAAAATACACCCTGAGTAAATGTAACAAATACCATTACGAAATACAAATTATCACTGCTTGCGTATACGCAGGTGAAAATCATTTTTAACCAGGATGACACCCCCCAATCAACGCTAGATGGATACTGACCAAAATCGTTCATCTATGATCATGGAGGTGGAAACCTTGCCTATGAATGTACGAGATGCGGCATTGCCAAGCCTAAAATGGAGCACCGTTAGGACCGATCAGGAATCGATCCAAAACAGATTTGGCACAATTCAAAAATGTGTACGCTCAAAATAAAACCATTATTTGGTCGTAGAGAATAAACTAACGCATATTTTCAATATGTATCTTGATTCACGGAACTAGTTTAACATATTGGCAACGCGTCGGATTGCCGCATCAGCATTGCTAGGCAACGCGATGATGAGCTTGTGATTCTGGCTATATTGAAATTTTATAAAACCAAAATTGCGGATCTTAGTCGAAAATTTGAAATTTCTATTTCACGCGCTAGAGCTTAAACGACATGATGGATTTGGACATAAAATGTGTATTCTAGAGAATACAGAAAAAACGGCTTGATGTCTTTAGATTCGTCTTGATATTACAATTAAAAATGCATTCTTTTCAGCCTAGTTTTTTGTATTTTTTTAAAAATGTACTTTGTGATGTGATGTCACAATTCATGGTTTCTCATTTCGTTCTGTTTGTCAAGTTTTGAAAGGTTAGCGCGCTTCACAGTGACGTCACAACTTATGATGATTTGCTGTAAAGTTGTGAAAGGGTCTGGTTTTCGGATTTCGCATCAGTCATTTCTCAAATTGATAATCGAATCTCACGGTGGTCGGAAAAGTTTCCGACCTAACAAGGATGAACTACATTTTTTCTGATTTTTATTTTATTTTTCAACTGTCTCCTTATAACCCTGTAACCCGTCCAAATAGTACTCGGCGTTTTTCTCTGAAAAATAATTGTTCACGAAGGTGAGCGCAATTTTAAGATAAGGTAACAAAAAGAAGTCGCTTGGGTCTAGATCCGTGACGCGGATGGTCAAGCAGTTCAAACGTAACAAACTCCGATTTATTGCGACAGAGCGTTGAAAATGTTCATTCGAACAGGTTTTTGGTCTAACGTGAGCAAACGCGTCACTCAACGCGCGGACAGCTTTCTCATGCCTAAATTTTGGATTAATATGTTGTGACAAACACTTTTTTTGACATGTTCGTAACATCTGCTATCTCTCTTACTTTAATTACGCTGTCGTCTAGCATGATTTGGTAAACTTTGGCGATGTTTTCGTCGGCAATTTTTGGACATCCCGAACCTTCATCGTCTCCCAAGCTCTTACGGCCAGTTTAAATTCAGCTACCCAAAATTTCACTGTTGTAAATGATGGTACAGAGTCCCCATACACAGAATCCAACTCATCTATGATTTGCGTAGGCATATAGCCTAAAGTTGTATGTATAGGCTTCCTAATTAGCGTGTATTATTTCAGAAAAATTGAATGAAAAGAAGCAGCTAGAAGAGAAGAGACAAACTTTGGCCGCGGAACTGACGCAGCTCCAGAATCGCCATTCACAGCTGACGATCTCATTGAGAGATCAAAAGAACCAGCAAGATGAACTTCTGATGACTCAACAATCCACCGAGGAGAAAATCAAGCTAATCTTGAACTTTATAAATAAAATGAAAGAACCACCTGTTGTCGAAGAAAATAAAGAAAATGAAGACGATGCTGGACCAGCTGTTCCAGCTAGTGAATGTGATAGCTCTAGCAGCTCATGATTTTAACGTGTTAATGTTCGTAAAAGCGTTTATTATTCTGTCAGATGTCATGTTGTTGTTGAGACTGATAGATTGTATATTTTTCTTTTGAGAATTTTTGTATTACATTTTGTATGGAAATTGAGTTTTGGGTTTTATTCCGACAAGAGCAGCATTTAGAAGTATGTTACCGCGGGTACATCCGGAGCATCATTACAATATAAGTAATAATATACAGGATGGTGCATCGAAAACGAAACATACGCAATTACTGGCAGCTCAGTTTTTTTTTGAAAAAACGCTCAGACCTGTCGATTTTGTTTTCGAGGGGGATACAAGTTTGGCAAAAAATCACGTTAGCAAGTGCAGCGCCCTATGCGGGGGTGACACCACCCCCAAAATCTTAAATGGAAAGGGGGGTCGAGTGATACCTTATCTTAAAGGTCTTTCAATTCCCTTTATAATGATATAAAATTAATGTACTTCAGTTCAGTAGTTTTGAAGATTTATTGATTTAAAGCTTAAATAAAACTAATACATCATCATAAGTGGAGATCAATACATTTGGCAGCAAAGTAATTTAAAAATGAAGGATGAACTGACCAGTTAGGCAAGTAAATGTTGAAAATGGCCACCATGACTCTCCATGCGATAATAATGATTTTGCTCAAAACGTTGCCGCACATTTTGCAATATTTGAGGAGTAATTTGAAGGCACTCATTCACAATTCTTTGTCGCAGGTCTTCTAATGATGTTGGCTGAGTAGCATAGATTTTGCTTTTTAAATGACCCATAAAGAAATCCAAAGGTGATAAATCTGGCGATCTTCTGGGCCATTCAATGGCACCTCTTCTACCAATCCATCGATCTGGAAACGTCTGATCTAAATATTGTCGAACACGTAATGCGTAATGTGGTGGGGCACCATCCTGTTGGAACATCAACCTATTCGCAATGTACCGCCGATCATTCTGATTTTCAATTATGGCTGTTAATGCAGGATCTATGGCGTCTTCCAGTAATTCCAAATACTTTTCACCGGTCAAATTTCCAGATAAGAAAAAAGGACCAACTAAATGATCGCCAAAAATACCAGCCCAAACATTTAATTTTTGTGGCTGCTGTATACGAACCTCATGATAAATTCTGGGATTAGAATCGGACCAATATCGGCAGTTATGACGATTTACTACGCCATTGAAGAAAAAGGAACATTCGTCGGAAAAGCAAGTGTTGAATAGAAAATGTTCATCGTTTATAATTGGTTCACCCATATCTTCACAAAATTGTAATCGCCGATCGAAATCGTCTTCATTAAGGTCTTGTACCAGGTGAATTTATACGGATGAAAACTGTGGGCCTTTAGAATCCGTTGGACAGTACGTCGACTAACACCACACACAATCTCCAGTTTGCAGGTACTAGGATCTACATAAACTTGCCCTAGAACCCCCACTTCTATTGCTAACTTTTTTGCCACAAAAAAACGCTCCAATAGCTATTTTCAACAACAAAATGATAAACAAACCGTTGGCGTAGTGAAGAAAAGCATTTACTTATTAAGTAAATTCTTTTAGTCAAATTTCTTCTGAAAGTAGTACAAACTAATCTGATGTACCTATTAAAGTCTACTTTAAATCAATAAATCTTCAAAACTACTAAACTGAAGCTCATGTATTTTACAACATTATAAAGGGAATTGAAACACCTTTAAAATAAGCTATCACTCGACCCCCCTTTCCATTTACGATTTTAGGGTTGGTGTCACCCCCGCCCAGGGGGCTGCACGTGTTAACGTGATTTTTTGCCAAACTTGTGTCCCCCTCGAAAACAAAATCGACGGGTCTGAGCGTTTTTCCACAAAAAAAAAACTGAGCTGCCAGTAAATGCGTCTGTTTCGTTTTCGATGCGCCACCCTGTATAATATAATTCTGTATCTCTCCAAAAACTAGCGTCTAGCACAGCGTCTCCCAACCTGTGTTCCACAATCTTATATCTGGACTAGACTATTTGATAAAAATAGGTAATCAAAGATCGCATAAGGGCTTTGCTTATGGTTGCTTGGATGCAATGTTCGCCCCCCGCTCTTCAATTATTTTCAGTTGAAAGCACACGGCACTCCCTCTTTTGTTTCCGGGGGAGGTTGACGAAAGGAACGCTGATCTAGCCAAGATCAATTCAACTTTGCGGTTTGGCCGCCAGGGGCGAATGAAGTTTTTAGTTTTGACACGACCTACTTCTCTGCTGATTTTTCTTTTTCATTCACAAATGCTGCCATTGCGCCTCTATACCAGGAGAAACTACGGCAATGCTGCTTTTGATGTAAAAATTAAAAAAGATACCCCGAAACTTGACGCCTGGGGTCACGAAGATCAGAGATAGGAGGAACTACGTAAGGGATACAGGTATTTGTAATAAACCAATTCTGTCGCGAATATGGTATAGTTCTCAGAAACTAGTGGGCGTAGTACATGTAGAGCGTCTGCGCAGTGCGCATTGAAAAATCTCAAAAATAACATTATTATCACGTACAACGCGAAATCTTGATCCCCAAGGTTTTCCATTTCACCCAGGTTTTGTGATGCTTTGTGGGTTCATTACGTCGTGGTTTATCGATATTATCCAATATTTCTGCTTCAAACTCGTCCGAACTGTCAAAATCGTGCAGAACCTGAAACTAATTTTCTGAGTAGTGTGCATACGAGCGACGACATTTTAGTGCTTTGATAGGGTTGTCATATTGGGGGATTTTCTCTCAAATTTGGGGAATTTTCACTTGGGGAATTCATTTTGGGGATTTTTTTTGATGAAGTAGACATTTTGAGAAAGTGTTGTGCTTGCTCTGGGTCAAATTCTGTCCAACTGATCTGGCAACTAGTCATGTGTCGTTCGCGAATGAGTCGTTCAAAATGAACGACTCATCTAAGTGAGCGATGATTGAACGACTCTTTTGTTACGTATGACTCGTTCAATTGTGCCAGGTGTGCAGCAACTGAACTGCAAACTGACAATGTGTTACAGTACAGACACTATATAGGGAACCCGGTTGTTTTGTTTTGAGATGTCTCATTGAATTATACATTGAAATGATGGGATTTGAGAGCAAACAATGTATTTTGATTCAGAATTCGGTAATTCCTCAAAACCGGACCACATATCCCTTCTTTCTTCAGAAGACAGTATACATTAGTTACATTCAATTTCAACTAAAAATATTAATACTCACATAAGTACAATACCGGCAACCCTAACCCTTCATTTCATTTTCATACTATGATGTATATTCTCTGACTCAGTGAGTCGTTACTTTAGGCAACACAATACTCTTGTCAGCTTCGAGGCCAGTCGGTAATCGTATAGTTCAAATGAACGACTCACTGAAGAGAGATGAATGAAATGAGCAAGCTCAGAGAAAATAGTCGTATGTCTCAAGCCTACTGGCAACGCTCTGTGCTTTGACAGATCCACCTTATTTTTATGAATGATAAATAATAGAATAGATTGCAATAGCGTTGCAGTTCTCTATTATTATTTATCATTCATAAAAATCAAATTTTATTAAAAAAACTCCTACCCGCAGATTCAAGCTTCCTCATATAAAAAATATATATACAGGGTGGCCAATATATAACTGACTGATTTAAATTGCACGCCATTTTTGATACACGCATTTCAGTAGGTGGCGCCGTAGTAGTTGTTTAAAGCACATATGCCCAATTCATCATGGAACGTTACACGATCCCACAACGCGTCCATATTGTTAAAACGTTTTACTTAAATAATGAGTCGATTGTGGCAACGATTCGGAAGCTACGACACGATTTCGGTCGAAATAGTGTGCCCAGTGTCAACACCATTCGTCAGTTGGTTCGGAAATTTGAACAAACAGACGAAGTTAAAGACTTGCCAAGGTCAGGCCGTGTTCGAACTGTTCTACTCCGGAAAATATCGAGAGAGTTCGTGAAAGTGTAGTGGAGCGCCCTGAGACGTCTACCAGACATCGTTCTCAAGAACTCGGTATTCGTCGCACATCATTATGCACTATTAAAAAAAAATGCATTTGCTGGAATACAAAATTCAGTTAACCCAAGAACTACAGCCTAGTGACCATGAAAGTCGCCGACAATACTGTAATTCAATATTGCAGCTCAATACCCAAAATACATAACGATTTTTACCGACAACTGATAATGAGCGATGAAGCCCACTTCGATAAAGACGCTGCAGGTGAGTTTCGTACTGTCACTGGCGAGCGCTACCGTGATATGGTAACAAAACTTTCTGGCTCCTCAAATCCAACAGTTTAACCTGCAAAACGTGGTTCCAGCAGGATGGAGCTACTTGTCACACAGCTAGGAAAACAATGAATCTTATGCGAAAAATATTTCCGGGACGTTTAATTTCACCGGATTTGACGGTTTCTGACTTTTGTATGGTAATTCTGAAAAATACCGTTTATGCCAACAAACCCAATACTGTAGAGCAGCTGAAGAACAATATTACGGAAGCGATTGAAAATCTTCCCCCCAAAACCTAACAGAAAGTGATGGAAAATGTAAAGAGGACTCAGGTTTGCGCGGCTTTTCGAGGCGGACGTTTGTCTGATATTATTTTTCATACATAATTTCTAAGTCAAGAAAAGATTAACATAAAAAATGAATGTATTTTATTTCATTTCACAAATATTCAAGATACAAACCAGTCAGCCACATATCGGCCACGTTGTATAACTTGGATAGCGTGCGCATGCGCAACTGCGCCCTCAGTCAGGCGTCAAGTTTTAGGGTCATTTTTTGCTCATTTCGTCAGTTCTCCGATATATAGCCTCCATGAGTCCTGCCATTTGAGATTTGACAGATAGTGACAGTTCTCATGTCAGTTGTCAGTCGGTTTGCAAATTTGTGGTTAATTTTTTTTGGCGGACTTACCTCAACAGAAAATTATAATTAATAGGAATATAAAACGCAACCGAAGCCATAAACAAAATCCTGAACGCGATTGTCTCGCGCAAGAGTTCTCCTTTCAATTGACTGCCTGCAGCGATACATGGCTGCAAAACGAACAGCGACGACAGACCTGAATCACGAGAATTGGAACCGAGAGGATGAACCTGAGGAACAGGGGAGCTTCCAACAGGCTTCTGAAGAACAACTCAAGAACAGAATCATCAAAACTGCGAGAAGGAGGAATCCTATATCTTCGGTTAGGGTATGGTTTTACTGACACTTGCTAAAAATATTTGCATTTTTTATTACCTCTTGCAGAACTCGGAAGATGCTGATGGGAAACAGAAAAATATCTTTACCGGCTTCACAGCCTTCGCGAAAGCTCCAGCTGCAGCACCAACAGGCCAGTTTTCATTCCTTTCAAATCTAAATCCTCAAAAAGATCAACCTAAGACAAATGGTATTCAAGACTCCAGCAAAAACAAAAATGACAGTGTTGGATTGTCTGTTTCCAGCACTATTTCCATATTTGGTAGCAATTCAACAGCTGCGAATAGACCAGAAGGAAAATCTGAAGCATATTTATCAAAATTGAAGGGATTAAATGAGAGTGTGTCAAAGTGGATTAAACAACATGTGGATGCAAATCCCCTGATCAACTTGAAACCTGTCTTTGAGGATTATGAAAAATATTTTAAGGATCTGGAGCTGGAAGAAGTAAAAGCAACAGGTAATATAATAGAGTTCTATAAGTAAGCAATAGAAGTACTGATCTTTCAAACCTATAGTCAAAATCATGAAATATGACTGTTACGTCATACCATAAATTGTACTGAAGTAATCAATAGACATACGTCGATGATAAAATCATTAATCTATATTATGATTTTGCGAAGTTAGTTTATTACACTAATTATTTTTATTTCATGGTTTAAAGTGATACCTTAATAATAAATATAGTGGGAAGTTTTTGTTTTGAAAAAAAGTTATGAGTAGAATACACCTCAAGACATTAACACCAAAGACCAAAGTACTATTCGAAAAACAACCTAACCTGCTTTAAAATGACCTAACTATTCATCTTTCAAATATGATCGATCAAGCAACATGAAAACATTGTCTGTCTTTGTCGGATACATGCAAATTAGCAAATACAGTTTGTTTAGACAATAAATTTCTGTTTGTATCTGTCTAACATATTTGAAATTTCATTAAAAATATTCACAAATCACTGTCGTTTCGATGATTTCGACTATAGTAGCTAAGTTTTGCAGTACCATTGTTAGCTTGCAATATAATTTTCTTTCGGGGCCATTAAAAGTGTGGAGGTATTTCCTATGTTGTATTTTAAATATTTAATATTCTTTGATAGTATAAGCAATTTGGATCTGTGACCCAATGCAGTTAATACAGTTTTCAAAATAAGAGGTACAACTATCAGTTTTGGGTTGCCCAGTACATTTGAAACATGTTTCATTATTAATACACTATTTTATATTATAACTCGAACATACTTGTGTACCAGACACATATTCTTTGAGACTTGGATCCACCTGTAGAATTATATTACCTTAATTTTGTCCTTTCTGCTTCAGTTTTGCTGTCTGTAAACAGTTGCCCATCAGTATCTTGTATCTATCAATTGATTTTGTTGTTTTAGTGCTTCAAAAATTTTATCATCTTGTAACAAAATATCTTCTTCAACACCCTTTACTATGATCTTCAGTTGCTCCTTTTTCCCCTCTTACACTGTACTTATTTCCGAGTGCTGTCTCTACTGGATTATATATTTTTTTTGCTGATAGATGTAGTTGTTGGTTCTCATTTGTAGCCTTCGCTTGTAAACTTCAACATACTTTCACACATTTAGCACATTTCATCTCAAAACCTTCAGCAAACAATCAATCGACCCGCCTATGGAACTTCAAGGTAAAAAAGTCAAATATTTGAAAAGAAAAAACAATAGCACCATTCACTGAGATGTTTACTTCTGCAGAGTTATGCTATCAATAATAGACATACTTTAATCTTTTCAGCGTCAGAAAATAAATCAGAGGCCAGTAACAAAAAGGAGGAGACAGCATCTTCAATGAGTACTTTTAAGTTTAAATCCATGCAAAATGTTCCAGATAGTACTACAGGCAAGGCACAGACAGACACAAAAGTAGAACAGGGGAAAAATGAAAAGAGTAGTACATCTATACCAAAATTTTCTTTCGGGACTATGCCAGTAAACACAACAGCTTCTGCTGTTCAACCACCATTTTTCAGTAGTACGGCCACTTCAAATACATTTTCTTTTTGTAAGTATAATAGAATTGTATATATTTTGTCCCTCTGATTCATTGCTTCAACAGATTACCCAGGTGGAGGCAAGAGGAAGATTTCCCCTGCCCTAGCTCTTATAAATCACAGAAAAACTCTGTGTTTAGTCTCATAATGGATTGAGTCTAGATGGAGTGCCCCAGTTTTCAGGAAGGAAGTTTATATTTTTACAAAAATGATAACACTTCATTTTGATTCATGAGACTAAACTCTTAAGATTTTGAGTGGAATAGGAAAAGCCACAATCATTTTTTTATGAATAGTTTGCGAGTATTTAAGGAATACTGCACGTCTATTTTTTACTTGATTAGTTAGTACAGCCTTATTTTTTTTCACAGCCAGTTCAAATGCTTCTTCTACTTCAACATCTCCATCCATGTCATTTGGAAAATCAACCTCTTCCGCTGTTACATTCACCCCAGCTATGGCTCCCTTTAGTTTTGGTGCACCCCTCAAACCCACAGAGCAAGTGAAGAAACCAGAAGAAAATAAGGATGCTAATGATGATGAAGACGAACCACCGAAGGTGAGTTTTAATCTGTTTTTATCAGCCTAAAATATTAGGTTGTTTGGAAAGTTCTTGCGGTTTTTGTTTTAAATGATGTATTTTACACTAAAATTTATTTATAATACTTTGAATTCATATGTAATTTTAAAGCGCGTTTTTCGCTCTATCTAGTCGTTGTATTCGTTTGGTTTTACTATAATTTGTTTTTTTACGACTTCAAATGTAGGATGGACAAGAGGCAAGTTCGCACTATTTTCTTATTCCAGTTTAAATTAGGTGGAAAAGCTGCCGATAAGGCTCGCTTTGGCAACAATGCATTTGGTCAAGGAACCACTAATGAACGTACGGCACAATGATGGTTCTATAAATCCCGTAGCGGTGACGAGAGCCTTGACAATAAAGAACGCAGTGGTCGGTATTGCGACCATTTCCAACCACAAAAAAGCTCGATAAATGGGTACCGCACGAATTTAACGAAGATCAGAAAAATCGTCGTTTTGAGGTGGCGTCTGCCCTTCTTCTACGCAACAAAAACGACCCGTTTATCGACCGGATTGTGCCATGTGATGGAAAGTAGATTCTCTACGACAATAGGCGACGTTCTGCGCACTGGTTGGACAGCGACGTGACTCCACAGCACTTCCCGAAGCCGAACCTCCATCCAAACAAGGTTATGGTGATTGTTTGGTGGTCTGCAGCTGGTCTCATTCACCACTTTTTCAAACACTTTCTTGAGAAATGCTTCAATAACCATGACTATGCCAAAAATGCCTTCATTGAGTTCATCGCCTCCAGAACTCCGGATTTCTACGTTAGCGACATAAACTTGTTTGTCGTTGGCAAAAGTGTTCCGATTCTAATGGTTTTTATTTTGATTAATAAAGTTTTGTTAAAGCTGAGATATGTTCCTTTGAATTTCAGGGTTAAAAACCGCAAGAACTTTCCGAACAACCTAATAGCTGCTACAAAATTTAATGCATATACAGTGTGAGTCTTCATAAAGTGCAAATATCAAAATCAGGGAAACTACACTCTATTTCATCGACGGATAAATCATAAAAAAAAAAATTAAAAACAATAATTGATTTTTTATGAATATTTTAAAATTTTTAGTAGCAGCTTCTAACCATATTGAAATAACTCGTTACAACTTTTAAACTAAATGTCCTATCATATTGGAATACATTTTGTTGCTGGTAAAAGGACGTGCCTGAAAAGTGAAGAATTCCAGGAAAAGTAATGACATCCATTTAGAATAAAGAAAATTTTGATGAAAATCTGTTTTTTTTTCATCATTTTTACAATAATTTCAAATTTTCTATAAATTATATCGTCCCTTGTACCCTACCTTTTTTTATTTGTAAGTTATTCTACATGTTATCAGATTTATAAAAGTAAAAATTGCACGTTTATTACTCAAATGTAACAGTTTCTATGAGTGTTTATAAAAAAGCCCATGCGCATCGTCTTGCTAGGCACCATTGTTTATCATGTAGACACCTTTTTTTGGTGATTCAATATAGAGTCGCGCGGGCTGAAGTACGAGTGGGGAGGCGGGCCCAGTTGAAAATTGAATGTTGGGCAGTTAGGCAGCTATTTGTGTTTCTCCTGCCAACTTTATCAGTTTCGTTTGCTACATATCACGCTTTCGCTTTTTGGTCGCGATGCCACGTATAAGTGATTTCCCTCCGGCACTCATTGCCGATATCCATTATTATTATGGAATGTACCGAGGGAGTGCTAGAGCTGCTTGCACAGCTTATCTAGCTGCATTTTCAAATCGACGCCCTGTTCCATCAGCCCGTAACTTCCAAGAAGTACATAGAAGACTGGCTAACACTGGACTTGGTTTGCCTCGAGATCGCCGCGAACCAGGTGTTATTATTCATGTTGCTATCCAAGAAGCCATTTTGGATGATTTGTTTGCTGACCCGACTACTAGTACGAGACGTTTGGCGTTACGTCATGGCGAATCCCAGAAATCGGTTTGGCGCATCTTGAGGAAAGCAGGGTTGTATCCATACCATTATCAAAGGGTGCAACACTTGCATGAAGATGTGGATTGGCGTCCAAGGTGCGTTATGTCTACATGGATTTTAATAAAAACAAGAGACAATCCTGAATTCCCGAAAACAATTCTGTGGACAGATGAATCTCAATTCACGAGAGAAGGCATCGTGAACTGTCGTAATTTTCATAAGTGGTGCCCAAAAGATGGAAACCCTAGGCTGAAAAGGGCTTCAACATTGAAATTTTCTGTAAATGTGTGGGCCGCACTGATTGACAACTTTTTGATTGGTCCAATAATACTCCCGAGGACATTAAACGGAGAGAGATTTCTGGAGCTTTTGCGGACTGAACTGCCCTTGCTGTTGGAAAAAGTGCCGCTGCAAACCCGTCGAAGAATGATGCTTCAAATGGATGGATGTCCTGCCCATTACTCGCTGATTGTCAGGTCTTTTCTTAATGAAAATTATCCAGGCCGCTGGATCGGTCGACAAGGACCTGTTGGGTGGCCGGCGCGTTCCCCAGATCTTACACCTTTCGACTATTTTTTATGGGGGACAATGAAACAAAGGGTGTACAGCAGTTCCATAAACAGCGAAGCGGAACTTGAAGAAAGAGTTTTGCGTGTTGCAAACGAAATCAAAAATGATTCCGAGATGATTCGTAGGGCAACTCATCAAATTTCACTTCGCGCTACAATGTGTTTGCAGCAACGGGGTGGCCATTTTGAACATTTAATGCATTAAGCCAAAATGATTATCCTATAGACAAGTCTATTTGATTTTATTTGTTAAAGATAATGAATGATTCATGTAGGTTAATACTGTTGTTTTATTCCTACTCTGGCGTTGAACTGAGTTCACTGCTTTTTGAAACGCTGATTTAAAAACTTATATCTAAGTAATACACTTGCAATTTTTCACCATTAGGAAGCTAATAACATGTAGAATAACTTAACATTTAAAAAAGGTAGGGTAAATAGGACAATTTTTATTGAAATTTAGCAATTGTTTTAAAAATCATTGAAAAAATAGTGAGTTTCAGCATATTCCTCTTTATTTTAAATTTATAGCATTTAATTTCGTGGAAATTTTCACTTTAATGGTACGGCCTATTATTTGCAATCACTACAAAATTTATTCCAATATGATAGGACATTCAGTTTAAAAGTTGTAACGATTTATTTAAATAGGGTTAGCAGCTGACTCTAAAAATTTTAAAATATTCAAAAAAAATCAATTATTGTTTTTAATTTTTTTTTGATGATTTATCCGTCGATGAAATAGAGTGTAGTTTCCCTGATTTTGATATGTGCACTTTATGAAGTCTCACACTGTATGATTCATCGTTTCAACTACTCACATTTGTATATAAGTATATACGAATAGGGGCTGGAAAGGCCAACTTACCAGAGCTTTGATTAGGTTTATAATAAGAAACTGAACAGTAATTCTAACCAAACGTTGTTCTACAAAATAGGATACGAAGGGGCTTAAACTCTCCACCTCCTAGATTCCCACGGCCTAATTTGTTTTTTCCTATACACAGAACCAAATTTGTCTGACGGATTGAGTTCAATGTGTACGAGAAAGATGCATGTATAGACGCATGTTAGAAAGAAATAGAAGCTGGCTGGATAGCGAAGCTCATCACCGCATTGCCTAGCAACGCTGAAGCGGCAGTCTGTCGCATTGCCAGTATGTTACAGAAATTCCTTGAAATAAGATGCATGTTAAAAGTATGGTTTAGGATCGAGTCCGGATCGGTCCTAACGGCGCTCCATTGATTCGCTTGGCAACATCGCATCTAGTGAATTCCAAGGCAAGGTTTCCACCGCTATGATGACAAATATTGCGTAACTCAGGATGTGTTGAGTTTATCACAATGGGTGGAAATCAACGCTTATTCTAAAATAAACTAAAACATTAAGTCGCATCAAAATTGAAATAAATCTAATCAAAATGAAAACAAAATATTAAATTAAATGTTCGAACAGACCTCCTTGGTTTTTGACAGTACCCTTTTCTGGTGTAATATATTGGCAGCACAGCAGATTTCACGACCTTCGTACTTCAGCTGGCTTTTACCTCGTTCTAACATGTGTATGTGTCTTTAGACAATTACATGCTACTATGTAAAAAACGTCAAACGCTGATGTTTGAGCAACATGTTCAGCTATCAAACAAATGTACAACAGCTTGTGCTAAGTTAACATCTTGTAGAAAAACCTACGAAATATAAAAAAATGTAACTTTTTAAGATACGTAATACCCGTGCTGAATCGCGATTAATCGTATAGATTTCTTTCGTGATTTGAATATATCTTGGGCATTGCTTATTTTATCACAATAATACCAGGGCGATTCAATAAGTACCCGTGTTTGACGACAGAGGGCGTTCCTGAGGGAAGTTCATATTATCATCGTGTGCTGCCATCTATCGGACGACGCCACAACAAATTTTAGACTGATAGATAGGTTAGTTTGGATTTGGCAACCATTCGAGTAACACGTGTTTCGTGATTTTCTCTAAGATGGAAAAAGAGCAGTATCGTTCGGTAATTCGCTTTTTGTTTTTGAATGGGAAAAATGCGAGGAGATAAAAGCAAAGTTGGATGCTGTTTAAGGGGGTACATCGCCATCTATGACCTCAGTTAGATATTGGTTCAACGAACATCCGTTTTGATGAGGATCGACCAGGACGCCCGGCAGACGTGGTTACTGAGTAAATCATTCAAAAAGTCCACGACATGACTCTCGCTGATCGACGAACGAGAGTGCGCGAAGTAGCAGACGCCGTAGGTGTGACGACCCGAACGGCAATCAATATTTTACATGATAAGTTGGCTATGAAAAAATTGTCGGCCCGATGGGTGCCGCGGTTGCTCACGGTGGATAACAAGCGGATGCGGCTGTTAACTTCGAAGCACTGTTTGGAGCAATTTAAGCGAAATCCGAAGGAGTCTTTGCGTCGAGTTGTCACCGTCGATGAAACCTGGATTCATTACACACCAGAAACTAAGCAACAATCTGCTCCAAAGAAAGCGAAGACGGTCCCATCGACCGGATAGGTCATGGCGATGATTTTTTGGGATACGAATGGCGTCATCCTCGTGGATTTTTTAGAAAAAGGAAAAACGATCACTGGACAATACTATAGTGAGTTATTGGACCTCTTCGACAAAAAATTGAAGGAGACACGGCCCCATTTGACGAAAAAGAAGGTGCTGTTTCACCACGATAACGCACCAGCACATTCATTCGGAGTTGTCGCCACCAAACTGCATGAATTGCGTTATGAAGTGCTGCCGCACCCCCCCGTATTCACCCGATCTGACGCCCTGCGACTTTTTCTTGTTCCCTGATATAAAGACATGGCTCGCGGGGAAAAAATTTAGCTCAAACGAGGAAGTCATCGCCGAGACAGAGGCGTATTTTGGAGAGCTCGACAAATCCTATTTTGTTGAAAAAATGGCAGGAACTTTTTGAAAGGGGATTATGTTGAAAAATAAAAACAATTTTTTTGGAAAAAATCGTGTCTTCATTTCTAACACGGGTACTTATTGAACCGCCCTCGTACACCATAACTCATTCGGGAATGATAATAGAGCATATCTGGGAGTGAAAAGGTACAAGTAGGTCAGTGGCGACGCGTGACTTTTCCTAAACTGTTACCAAAACCAGATGTGAAAAATTTTATTAAAAAAAGTTTATTTTGAACCTCCCAAATATAAGTTTTTGTTTATTTTAGGTATTTTCAATCTATATTTAAATTAAGGTAAACATTCCTGAACTGAGCGTCTGGGGCACTTGATATACCTCATCGTCTTATGCTATGACTAATCCCAGCCGTCCGAAAAAGCAGTCGACGTTTCTAGATGTTCGGAAAATTTTTGATCTTTTTTGGCAATGAATGTTATGTATTCCCTGTAATTCCCTCTATTGACAGAGTCATCCACTTCAAAATAAACGGTAATTCCTGTTTTACAAAAAAACATACGGTATCTAGAAGTGTGCTGCCCAAAAGATTGGTTAAGACATCTTTCGATTCTTGTTTTGCCAAACTGAATTAAATTGGCTACACATCTCACATGTAACGGAGAAATTTCATCTCTCCTCTTTAGAGCCCTAAAACTATTTAAATCGTTGACTCCGCTGCTGGTCCACCCATTTTTTTCTGTATAAAACAGAAGACATCGCCAACAATACAATCTGTTTTTTACAACCACATAACCAAGAGTTTCCATATACCAACTTAATTTAAAATATCAAACTACGTTTTTTTATTCCTTTTTAAAATCATCTAAAATAGGTGTTGGTCTTCCATTTTCAATGATCTCCATTTTTTCTTAAAAATTATACAAGGAGTATGACTTTTCAAGTAGTTGATCGATCACGCAGCGACACTCATCCATGATTAATTTCACGCACACTACAGCCGGTAACCAAAACGGCTATTGACGAGTGAGAAGTTAGTAACCAAATCAAAAAATGGTAACAAGCCCACATAATAGTGGCAGCGCCCCACGCACTCGGGCGACCGCGATCAGACACGAGCCGGATCCGACGGTCCCCGACGGACTACCAAGTGTATCCATAAATGAAAATGGTAACAACCGAACCGACAACCAAGTCGAGACGAGTCAGCTTCATCGTGTTCGCAAAACCTAGACACTATAGAGCGCATTATTTTCGTGGGGCTAATTTGCTATTTACTGAATTACTATTACACATCGCTGTTGGTAAACAAATAAATGAAATTATTTCACAGTACAGTCATCAAATAATTATTTTTAACTGTTACCAATGGTTACATGGACGCTTCGCCACTGAAGCAGATCCTTATGTAAAGGTGGAATCCAATTATACAATTACCATTGTCCAATTATACAAAGCTGGACACAGTCCTTCGACAGCGTACATGAGGGGCTATAATCTGATCTAAATTTAACAAAGAATTGCCTAATCGCGTACAGACCGAAAATCCAACGCCGATCAAACGAATGCAAGCACATGTGACGATGTTCCGATCAAGGAGCGAACGCAATCGAACGCTAACTCCAACCTTGGAAGCCGTTGGCTTATGCTGGCTCGCGCCCTACACACCGATTCGAACACCACCAAATCTATACCCACATGTGCCTTGAGTTGGAATCTCGGTCTGTACGCGGCTTTAAACTTTACGTCAGCTTCGAGGTCTATGAGTTTTTTGAGTTCCAGTGATTTTTGTTCGCAGGTGGAATTCACTCCAGTTGAAGAGAAAGGACACATATACACAACAAGGTGTAAAGTATTTGTGAAAAAAGAAGAAAGTGGCTTTGCAGACCGAGGAGTAGGAAACCTCTATTTGAAACCAATTGAAGGAAGTGAGAAAATACAACTGATTGTTAGGGCAGACACAAATTTAGGTAACTTTCACGCTCTGCTATTGTGGGTTTTGGTATTGATCGATGTTGTATTGTGAATTCATACCATACCATGGATCACATTATGTATATACATATTCCTATAACGTGAGCAGTAGTCATTGCCATTGCCAACGACCAGTTGGGCAAGGTTCTAGTGAACTTTTAACGCTAATCTCGAGCTTTCGGCATTCTCTATGGAGCCATCTTCAGGAGTCGTCGTTGAGGTTGCAGCCAAATGGTGTTACAAAACGAACGCGTGGATTAGAGCACTTGTTGGGTTTCTTGATAACGACGGAAATCATCGTTAGGTGTTAACACTATTTAATGTGTTCGGGTGTATTGATATAGTGTTAACACCTAACGATGGTTTCCGTCGTTATCAATAAACCCAATGTGTCCGTCCGTTTAGTTTTATATTTGTAACAAGTGCTCTCATCCACGCGTTCGTTTTGAAACACCATTTGGCGGCAATCTCAACGACGACTCCTGAAGATGGCTCCATAGAGAATGCCGAAAGCTCGAGGTTTCCGTTAAAAGAGTTGACTAAGGCCCGTATCGTCAGTCGTCCCTACAATTGTAGGGCGCGTTTATGGCCTCCTTGATTGTCATACTCCTTTCCTTCAAAAATTTCTAGATTACACTTGTCCCGTGTCAGCGTCAGCGCTCTCCTATTGTGAAGATATGTTTTCTTTTTAAATTGTAGGAAATTTCAGGCTGATAAAACATGATATAACTCAAAAGCAAGCACAATTTGATGCAAATAGATGTTTGTGACATAACCTCAAAATAGAGCGCTGACACGGAGAAGTAGAAAACTATGACAATCAAGGAGGCCATAAAGGCGCCCTACAATTGTTGTGACGACTGACGATACGGACCTGAAGCCTAAAAAGTTTGCCAATTTCCCAATTAACAATTGCATATTCCTATATACAGGGTGACTTTGAAGTTGAGTCATTAATTTTCAGATAATGATTGTAGAAGGAAGATAAACCAGAATATGTGTGTAAAAATAAAAAAAAATTAAAAAAAAATTTTACCTTGTTTTATAAAGTATCCTCCCGACAAGTATTTCAGTGCGGACCTGTATTTGATCGTGAGGTCCCCTGTGAGGTCTTAAGTCACCTGATTCACGAGCCCGTTGTACTACATTAACAAAGGCACGAGGGGTTGGTTGCACATTGGGAAACCGATCCGCATAAACATGTGCCATTTTTTATTTCGATTGAGCCACGCAACAGACACTATTCACACGCTAACCGACTGACACTGACTGTATGTATAACTGAACTGAATAAAATAATTTATTGTAAAAACATCGTTCCAAATTCTTTCGCTTTTTTGTTTCCGATGCGATGAACCGGTAAGGCGGATTATATCCGTTGTTGCCAAACACGAGCACATGATATTATTATTGAGACAGGGCGGTACTCAAACTTCCAAAGGGCTATAACTTTGTTACTTTAATTTTACCAGAAAAATGGTAAAGGAAAAAACATTTCTTTTGATCAGATCTACTCACTGTTAAAATAAATGACTCAACTTCGAAGTCACCCTGTATATATATATATTTTTTTTTCAGGAAACTTGCTGTGCAACTTCATTCTGTCAAAGAACATACCCACAGAACGTAAGGGTAAGAAGGATGTCATGTTGGTATGTCTACCAATGCCTGACTTCAAGCCTCCACCTGTTCCTATGTTACTTAGAGCCACATCCACAGAAGAAGCAGATAAGCTCCTTGAAACGCTTGAGAAGCACAAGAAATGAATACTTTTATTGTTAAATTAGGTGTCATTTTTAATAAGCTCAATAGAATATTGTTTTTTATACGTTTTTTTCTTTCTTTCAGTTGTTTCATACAGTTTCGAGTACCTCACATTTGTTGTCAGATATGAAGACTCAATTTTCTCTTTATGTTCTCTCTCCTGGCAGTTAATCTGCATTTCATCCAGGTACATTCGAAGATCGAAGTTGAGTTTCTCCAGGGCTATCAACACGCTAGCGGATCGTCTTTCAAACTCTGCCGGAATTTCTTGGTCACTGAAGTGTATCTGCTCTGAATTCAAATCACTAAGCTGATGTAACTTTCTCCTTTTTAGGTTCAAAATCTTTGTCCCCAAGACCATTTTTTCCGGTAGTTTCGTAGGAAAACCACCTATTTTGCCTTCTCCAGCGAGTGGTAACAGAACACTCTTATGACCCTTAGGTTGTAAACTTTTCTGTACTCTGGGACCAAATAGTAGCAAAAAAAAAAAAATTCGTTCAATAATTTATTTACGAAAGATATAGTCGTTCTCGCAAGGTCGTTTATCAGACGCTATTACAGAGTGGTGTTTGTTTACGATTTCGGAAGCTTCCTCCCGACATTTTTCTCGCAAATGCGATGGTGCCAGCATGGCTGCGACGCTGGATTCTGGAGCAATCTCCTGGCAGTAGATCTGCATTTCATCCAGGTACATTTGAAGATCGAAGCTGGAGTCTCTCCAGATCTATCAACAAGCTCTTCGGGAATTTCTTGTTCAAATCCTTCAGCTGAAGTATCTTCTTTTTTATGTCCAAGATTTTTGTCACCAAGACCATTCTTTCCGGTAGTTTCGTAGGAAAACCACCTATTTTACCTTCTCCAGGGAGTGGTAATAGTACAGTGTCATGATACTTGGATGTAAATTTTTCTATATTATGTGGAGCACAGAGTAACTTGCTATCCCGCGTAAATTAAGATATAATTTGGTAAAAGAATGTAACTGCTCAGTTGGTAGGTAATGAGACCTCAGTGGGTGGTTCTTTGTTCTTCGGATATAAATATTTGTGGTTTGGGCGCCACCTAGTTCCAAGCACTAGGAAAAGAAATAAAAAGTAACTGATGCTGAAGGAGATACACAAGGTACACAAGCATCTATTGAACAAAAAAATTAAAGTCCTGGACAATGGCTACACCCTCACGAGGGTGAGAAAAGGGCTCGCATAACAAAATTCACCAAGGGAGGCCGATTTCTATCAAACTCCCCACAACCCGAAAAAATCCAGCACTGGGTGTGAAATTCTTCACTAACGAAAGTTGCAGGCCGCTGAATTCCTACATGAGAGCACCGGAAAGTCCAATTATGCTTTCGTATTTACGGTCGACAGAAATTATAAAAAATGACCGTTAACAAGATGGAGAAGAGTACTATTAATAAAATTATTAGGCCAAGAAAAATGTATTGTTATAAAAATAAAATTCGATATTTTTAAGAACTGCCATAGAAAGAGCTGTAACAAATTAACATGTCCTTAAAATACATAAAAAATACTATTATCAGAAATGCAAAACAACTTGGTTCAATAATTTATTTACGAAAAATATACACTTCCCCAATCTCACAAAAAATATATAGAAAGTAATGTAAATATCCTGGAAATAAAATTTACACATCATATAATGTATGGTTGTAAATTGCACATATTGTATGTGTACAGAATAAAAGACGCAGTTTAAAACAGTATATCAATGTACATAAAAATTAAAAAATAATTCAAGCAATCTTCGCTAATGATCCAATCACAAGCTTATCAACATTTGATGGAGCTCCCAAGCCTACTTCAATCTGCTTGATGTGCACCTCGACATTGCTCTGGAATACTTGCTGATTTATAGGGCTCAGTTTTCTCTTTATATTCTCTATCGTCCCTCGAAGTACTTGGAGCTCATACGTGTTTTGTTCTGAATCTGACAGACTTTTCAGCTGCAATAACAGCGCTGTCAGATCTGTGATAAGATCCAAGATAGAGTCGTTCTCGCAAGGTCCTTTATCAAAAGCTATCACAGAGTTGTGTTTGTTTACGATTTCGGAAGCTTCCTCCCGACATTTTTCTCGCAAATGCGATGGTGCCAGCATGGCTGCGACGCTAGATTCTGGAGCAATCTCCTGGCAGTAGATCTGCATTTCATCCAGGTACATTTGAAGATCGAAGTTGAGTTTCTCCAGATCTACCAACACGCTAGCGTATCGCCTTTCAAACTCTTCGGGTATTTCTTGTTCACTGAAGTGTATCTGTTCTGCTTCCGTGTTCAAATCCTTCAGTTGATATATCTTCTTCTTTTTGATGTTCAAGATTTTTGTCACCAAGACCATTTTTTCGAGCAGCTTCGTAGGAAAACCACCTATTTTACCTTCTCCAGCGAGTGGTAATAGTACGGGTTTGTTAAGCATTGAACCTGACATCAAGGGGTCTTTCCTAAGCTTCATGCTATTGTTCACAGGACTCTTCACATCAGGTGAATAAGGAGATAAGCCATTTCTTGGCCTGTACTTCATCTGAAAGCTAGTTATGGATATCGTTTCAGGTAGTTCATTCGATAAGACTTCATAGTCAGGTACTGAATGAGTCCCCAAACCATGCCTTTCAAAAGTAATTCTGTAAGTATTATTTGAAGTATCCACTCCGTCTATGCTACCGGTGAATAGCCCATCTTGGGGCTTCCTAAGTCTAGCAGTCACTTTTGTACCAATAACTAACTGCATAGGAACTTCAGGTGGTAGATCTTTGAAGCTGCTCATGTCTGTTGCTTTACGTTGTTGCAATGCACGGATCTTCTTCCTTTTCTTCTCTAGTTCTAAACGTTCTTCGTTGAAAAACGCCTGAGAACACCTACGCGGTTTGCCCATCATCCTCCTGATCTTTGTCCACTCTGTCCTAGTCAGTTCTTTTGCTTTTAGTTCTGGAAAAGATTCCCTCAAGCAGATCGTAAAGTCATTTTCGCCTTCGAAAAGACAACGATCTATATTGCTGTAGAACCACTCGTAACACACCCATTTGTGGGCTTTTGGTAACTTGAGTAAATTCCTCAGCCTGCGGCCGATTTTCTGACCAATTTTTTGGTCAGGAGAGTTTATCGGGTTGAGTGGAGGTGGCGTTACTTTGCCATCTCTGGAGTCACGGGGCTCTTTTTTCTTTGGCGTGTACCGTATGATATCGGGTTTTTCTGTTTTTATCTTGACAGGAGTCAGCAGTTTTGATTTTTTGCTAGGTGTGGACCTGAAAAGAATAATATACTGTTTAAACGGAATAATAAAACTATGTGGATATTATATTACAATCAGTCGGCTTGTTGTTGTTGAAGATTTATTTAGCATTAATGCTACAATGTCAATTTTGTATAATGATTCGGTTACATATTTTTCTTCAAGCCATTTTCAAAATTTTACATTCTTGTCTTTAAAAATTAAAAACTAAAATTACGTCACTATGTATTTTGATTATTCATGAAGTGATTTTTTAATTTCACCTTAAACATTTTTAAATTCGAACTCTGTTTAATACCATTATTCAATCTATTAAATTCAAATACTCCCTTTTGAAATACAGATTTACTAGTTATGCTACTATTACAACTTTGTAGATGAAAATCTATACTGCCTCTAGTTTGGTAATTATGATAATGACTATTTAATTTTGTGAAGTTCTCTAAATGTGATGGTAATAAATGATTTTTTAATTTGAATATGAAAACGAGAACTAAATAATGTATGAAATTTTTCACATCCAACCACTGCAGTTCTTCTAACATACACTTAATACTAGCATATTTGTTTTTATTTAAAATGATTCTCGTAGCTTTATTTTGTAGAATTTGTAATTTTGAAAATATGTTTTCATTTGCTGTAAACAAGATGGTTGAACAATATAAAAAATGGGGAAGAATTATTTTTTTGGAATACATACTAAGATTATGGGAAACTCTATAGAAGTAATTAATCTTTTTCGATATTTTTGAAATAATGTATTCATAATGTTCGTGAAACAGTAGCTTACTATCCAAATATATACCAAGATATTTAAATCACTCAATTAACTGAATTTTTTCATCATTAATCATGTGCCTAATTGTATTGTCACTCAAATGCTTCCCTATTAACATACATTTTGTTTTATTAGTGTTTAATTTTTTCAATATCACTATTTAACAATTCTAAAGCGGTGTCCAAATGCTTATGTGCTATATATATAAGTGTATCGTCCGCATATATTTGAACTTTGCAGGGTTCTAAAATGTAAGAGATATCATTTATATAAATAATAACTACTAACCGCCCTAATTTACTTCCCTGTGGCACCCCTACTGATATATTTTGAACAATTGACATAATATTTCCAACTTTAGTTTTTTGACTTCTATACTAAGTGACATATAAATCCGAACACCCAGTTTAAATGGTTTTATTTTAATAAAAGTTGGTGAATGTATTTATCTTACTGTAAATAACAAGTGAACAAATTTTCAGCCTTATCAGTTGGACATTCCGGTTTTTATACTGCTTTTTTTTAATTCACTAACGCTCTAAAAATGAATATTTCAGCTGCAGGAAAGAATCAACGTTGGCGGATTTTGGTTCTTGACATCCTTTACGATGGGTTACGATGCCTTGAGTACGGAGACCTGTACGATTTCGTCAACTTAGTGAGTTTGATAGGGGCCGTATAGTGGGACTTCGGGAAGCTGGACTTTCTTTTCGGGCAATTGCAGTTAGAGTGCAAAGAAGTGTAGACACTGTGGTTAGGTGTTGTCAGGCATGGCTTCGAGAAGGCCGTACGCAAAGAGCAAGGGGCACTGGACGCCGCCGTAGAACAACAGACCGTGAAGATCGCCGCCTAAGATTATTGACCTTAAGGGACCGTTTTTCCACTACCAGGTCCATTGCAAATGAATGGTTTGCAGAACACGGAAGACCTATTGGCATGCGAAGTGTTTACCGACGAATGAGAAGTTTTGGCTTGTTTTCATACCGGCCACACTGGGTGCTCCCTTTAACTCGAGAACACCGACGTAATCGCCTTGAGTGGTGCAGACAACGGTCACTCTGGGATCAGGAATGGAACAGTATTGTCTTTACTGACGAGTCTCGATTTTGTTTAGGCATGCACGATGATCGTGCCAGGGTTAGAAGGCGACGTGGTGAAAGAAGGAATCCACAGTTTTTTGTTGAAAGACATGTTCATCACACTGTTGGAGTTATGGTTTGGGGTGCTATAGCTTATGGTTCCAGGTCACCTTTAATCTTCATCAGAGGTAACATGAACGCGCAGCGTTATATCCACGAAGTTCTAGAACCCCATCTTTTACCCTATCTTGACACCCTGGCAGATCCAACTTTCCAACAAGATAATGCCCGACCACATGTTGCAAGAGTCACAATAAACTTCTTTCAACATAATGATGTCACATTGTTACCATGGCCACCAAGATCTCCCGACTTATCCCCAATTGAGCACGTGTGGGATATGATGGGTAGGAGATTGCTCAATTTGCAACGTCCTCCTCAGACTCTAGAAGCACTTCGAGAGGAGTTGGTGGTTGCCTGGAATGAGATACCACAGGAGGACATTGACCACCTGATCAGAAGCATGCCTAGGCGCGTTGGAGAATGCGTAGCACATCAGGGTGCATCCACAAATTATTAAAGGTCAAACGGCTTTAAAGCAGTGAAATCATTTTGAAATTTTTATCATTTACTTATTATGCTTCATTAAGTACTTCTACAAAATTTTATTAAAATAAAACCATTTAAACTGGGTGTACGGTTTTATATGTCACTTAGTATAGTTATTGCCATAACATCAACAATGAACGGTAAGGATTTCCTAAGAATTTTTGTATACCTTTGTTTCTTCGTATTCGGCACCCTATGATGTGGTGTGTTCACAATATCATCATCGAAAAACAGACGATTCTTCTTTCTGATCCTTGCAGGCATTCCTCGAGCATTCAGCACCTGGACTGGTTGAGTAGGGGTAGGTTTTGGAGGGGGTTGACTGCCTACCCTTTGCAGCCCCAATGCTGCAGGACCTAGGGTTGTGAGATCCTCATCTATGTCCATGTCTTCTTCATCATCTGCAACCTCTTGCTTTATGGTGATCTCTTTTTGTTGGTGGTCTTCATCACTAGGTGTCTGATTTTCTGGGGTTTCTTCAGTTGTAGTAGGCTCAGAAGGCTTTTCAATAGCTGGTTCAGGATCAGAGGTCATCCTGCAGCCGTTTTTGAATTCAAGCAAAGCCTCCGCTGATTCAGCTGAAGGAAAAAGATCACTCTATTAAAAATATGAGTCTAGGAAATGGTATCTAGATGGGAATTTTTTAATACTAGAATCTGGTGGGTATGTAGAAGATAGTTTGTATGCAATTAGACCAACCAGTAGATGCAATCTGAGTAGTCATACTGTACAACATACAGGTTGAGGCATATTTTGATATATTTATTGATAGAACAATGAAAAACGTGGCTCTTATTATATACTCTATAAACTGAAAGCAATTTTCCCATAATTCAAGGATTCTCAAGTCAACTACTCAAATGTTTACCTTTGTACCCCTTGCCATACTGTACAGTCAGAATTGCATCTAGCAACAAAATAATAATAAATTAGAAGAATTTAAGAAACAATTTTTGTTACTGTTACTCAAAACAATTATTGCTATAAGCATTTTTATTTGGATACATCATTGAATATGTTATCCACATAACGGTTAAACTGTGTATTTGTGTACTCTCCAGGTAGATCATCAAACAAATAATAGTTCCTCATAACAGCAAGAAAATGTGTTCAAATTGATAAATATGATGACTACAGTGGGAAAAAAACAAGGTGTAGCTATATGAATGACTGTATTCAGTGTATTCTGTGCATAGTTTATAAAAGTGAGACAATTTTGTCACTCGGAAGTCTAAATGTAAGATCATGATACGTAATTAGTTTGTTTTTCTGCTCTGCTTTGTTTTCGTCAATGAACTTCAAACATTTGAACGGAAATATTTGAATTTCGTGTATGCCATTTTCAAATTCAAAATCAACAAACCCAGCAAACAAATGAAGATATGGCTTCTGCGCAGCACCTACTTGATGAAATAATCACTTTGAAACATTACTGGCGTGGTTTTTCTCCGCTTTCTAATGGGAAAAATCAACGTGAATGCAGGAAAACTTTATAAAATACTTAATTTTTAAGCTGATATACTTACTTTCCAGTTGGTCGGCCATATTGACGTTTGCAGTGAATTCTGGGTATTTCAGCGCGCGTGGCGCCTCTCCTCAACAAGAAAATAATATCGAATTCTTTTGTTTCCTTCCAAAGTCACATGAAGATTTTTCGTTCATCCGATAGTTTGTTACGTGCCGATTTTATTAGGGTGCACTGATTACTGTGGGGCTTGCTTTAAACCCTAATTTCATTATTTTAAATTTTAAAAATGTTACGGGTAGATCACCAAGTCAAATGAACTTGCGCATTGGCAGTGCGCATTGTGTCATATTGGTTGCCAATCTTGTGATAAAAAAATATCACGACTTGAAAAATCAATGGTCAACCGAAAATGCTCTGCTGTGAATACCATGAAAAGATCTTAATTTCAGATAAGATAAAATTAATTATCATCAATGTTCAATAGTTTTGCGACTTGTAAATAGTATATCGAATAATGATGCTATTTGCATAACTCAGGGTGCTAACGGTGTCAGCACTGTCCACCAGGAGCGTCGACATAAAATTTTTACATGGGAAGTGGTGCTGGAATTAGGAATTATATAAACTTATAAATTACTCGTATATTTTATTAATCACCCAGCAAAAGGACGAAGGTGGAATCATTATAAAATAAAATTAATGCATTTTTGTGATACAATTTATTTAATTAGTCAATGGATAATAGTATTTTAATGAAATATGTAAACCATGGCGCATGGAAAGTGTAAAAAGTATAAAAAGAACGGATAATACATTTTTTGAAACTCTCAAATTTATGAAAGTCCCAGTGGCGTGCTTGAACAATTACTATAGGGCGTTTAGTTTAAAAGCATGATAGATGATAATCGTATACATTGGCGGAGCTAGAGAGTGCTAGGAGGAGGTACCCTTTCTGCAAATTTCCTAATACGAGGGATGTCTTTTAAGTTTTGCATATGGAAATAAAACAACATGGTAGGTAGTTTTTATTGTTTTTTCGAAGTATTCTCCACGAAGATTATTACACATCTGCATGCGCTCGAACCAAGTTTCGAAGCACTTATTCAACTTGTTTGCTGGCAAATCCAAAACGGCATTTTTGAATGAGTCAACTGCTTCTTCTGATGACGGGAACCTTTGACCACGCAGCCTGTTTTTAACTTTCGGGAAAGTAAAGAAATCGTTAGAACCTAGATCGGGACTAGGTATGTGGAGGATGGTCCAGTAATTCCACGTTTTCTTCCGTTAAATACTGCCTTGTTTTTCGGGCTGTGCGCGAGCTTGCATTGTCTTGGTGGAGGATGATTCTTCTTTCGGGCTTGATTTTTCGAAGCTCGGTGATGACTTTTGGCCTTTTGGCAAAAAAATGATGGTATACTAATCCGCAGCAACAGTTCTTTGCTCATTAAGAGGAATTGTTGCAATATGACCCGCTTTTGACACAAATGTCGCGACCATCTTTTTCGAAACACTTCGAGAACGGAATGACTTTTGTTGGCTTTTCTTCACCTTGGAACATCCAAACAGTGGACTGTCGTTTATTTTCTGGTATTCTCGACATCCCTTTTTTTAAGATAATTTTTGGATGTAGGCTGTTACTGCGGTTAACGTGTCCATTTTGGAACCTCAGTTTTCGATGACGCGTCCGCGCATTTCAAAAAATAATTCCACAGGTCTACATTATAGATCTAAGGGTTATCATTGGATCCCATTTAACTCTAAGGGGTTTGGAATTTTTGGGGTCGCTGAACTCATTCGAGGTCGGTTGTCTTCTACTATCACGACTAGTTCAAGGCCATTCCAACGGGAAATGTAGAAAAAATGCTCAAACAATTAAAAACGCATATCGTAACTTTTTGGGTCGCTGAATCCAGATCTGTCGTTTGTATTGCTTTGCAAGGTCATCTACTATGACCTTGGAGTTACCTTAGTTTCACCTCGAAATAATTTCTCGATAACCTTACCTGGTAAAACAAATACATATATCCAGGTTCGGCGACTTCAAAAACGTACGTGTGGAGGTTTTCAATCGGTTTCAGACACTCTTACTGAACAACCTTAATGTGATCTTAAAATAACCTCTAGATGACCTCGCAAGGTAAAAAACGCCAGATTTGGGTACAGAGACCCAAAAAGCTGAAATATAAATTCTGTTCAAATTTCCCTGAGCAATTCTTCTGAACTTGACCTTGAAATGACCTTCAAGCTGACGTGATATGGGTCAGCTGACCTCGACATTAATGTTAGCGACCCTAAAAACCTTTATATGGCTATACTGTATGGGATTCAGTGATAACTGTTATGTTAAATGTCGGCCCGTGATTTTTAATAACAAGTGTTACGGATTCTTTTATGATTTGATACCAACGATAACCCGCACAGTCAGTTGCTTTAATTTTTTTTACCTTTTTGCTGAGAATCTCTTTTTGCAGTCGTAACATATGTATCTGATGTTGCTTTCATGATATCAATGCGTGTGTTCTGCAGAGACCAGCTTCAGCTTTCAGCTCCTACTAAACTTTTGGCTCAAATTATTGAGGTACATAATTTCATCTCTCAATCGCAGCTCTGGGAAAAATATTGTAGCGCCCTCGTAAACTAAGGCTTTGGGGTACCGATGAAACGCCCTCGCAAAGTCGACGCTTGGAAAACCAGAATTATGCGACCCGGAATGAAGCATGGTCGCTTTCGGCACGGGTATCACGTATCTTGAAAAGTGGCATTATGCCGATTTTTTTTGACATTATGTTGTTTTTTTTGACATTATGTAGGTTTTTCTACAAGATGTTAGCTTAGCACTTAGTTGTACGTGTTGCCTAAACGTCATAAGGCTTGTTATCAATCTTTGGTTCTGATGTAATGTAACACACACTTAATTGAGATTCAAAGCTAGAAATTAGTTGTGCAGCCACCTTTTCTTATCCATTCTGGAAATTACGTAGACAAATTTGCTGAATTTCAAAAATGAGAGAGATAAGAAATAATTATATTCACTGTACAGTGTACACTGTCGAATTACAAGCCATATACATGCTACCAGTAATTACACACAACGCGGGCGCGGTGATAATTTACCGTAATTCTCCTCAGTTTTTCGTAATTTATAACTTTGAACATAACCTCTCTTCAGAAAGCACAACATAAAAATAACCCGTCGAGCACAGCCAATAGATATACTTCATTGGCAGCATATTCAGTAATGATTTTCTCTCACAGCAAATATCACTGATTTTATACAACCAACTTTCGTTTCAGAGATAAAAACTACAGACCAGGACCACTCGGCCTCATAAAACACATGCAACCAATAATGCGTGAAGTTCAGTTGAGTAATTCCTCCATAGATGGACGTTCACAACGATCCTAGTGAGCAAACATGGAACGACTGTTTGAGCCCTAAAACTACCTAGGTTGCAAGATGACATCTTATAGTTTTTTTTTGACGTTTTATAGGTTTTTTACATGATACCCGTGCCGGAGTGATCTCGATGCTATAGCTAACAATCGACACGCTTCAAGAGGAATCGACTGCCATCCACTAACTTCGAAGAAAAATCGAGTTCTATCTGGAAAATGCTAGAGTGCCTCGGGAACCGTCGATTCACGACATAAATACCCAGGCGTCGCCAGGGACAGTCGTGTAGTCGACAGTTGTTGAATCACCAAAATTTTGGGTTGTTTACAGCATTTTCAAAATAAATAAGTACCTCATGATACGTGGAAAGGAAGAATTTCTAATAGTTGGGATGTAACTTCAATCAAGGCTTTTACTTGTCACACCTACTGGCGAAGTATTGTAATCGCGAAAATGAGATACATTTTTTGGATATTACACGAAAAACCATGTCACTCATTTCTGTTGATCTATCGGTCTGACCGTCTGTCTAATAACTTTCAAGCCGCCTTCTGGATTTGAAAATCGCTACCCACCCAACTAGCAAAGTAGTGGTATAAGCTTTTGGTAAAAGAACCGTTCAGCCATAAAAGCTCTCTATTGTTGTTGCCTGAACACCAAAATGCTGGCCTAATGTTGTGTGGAATGCAAATTTGCTTTCTGCAACATATTTGCTCTAAAAGGAGGTGTTTAAAATATTCTTATAGCATAGTTATACAACACCTTATAGGGCAAATTTTTAACTGTTGCATAAACGTTTATACAACTATTTTATACGGCATATTTGCAAGTTAGTCAAAATGGTTGTGTTGTGGCACCCATGCTAACGTTTATAAAACAAATCCGAGCCTTGTTGCTTTGTTGTGCAATTTACTACATTAGCCAACAAATTGCTCCCAACGGAAGCACTTATACAACTGTTGTTTAGTAACTGTTAAAGGATGTACATATGCTAAATATGTTGGTAAACAACTTCACCATAACCTAACTTTTTGCTGTCATATTTTTGTAAAATGCCATAATCAATGTTTTAAGACAAACAACGCATGCATATTGGTTCAAAAGGTTTTATCAACTGTTCAAACAGAAGATATAGATCTGGTACAAATTCTGGATAAATCATTCGACTCTGTCGGTATTTCATTTCAGACATTTGTTGTTGTATAACACCTGCAGACAACACCAAAACATTCTAATAACCTAAAGACAACATGGACGATGCCATGATTGTACACAACCACCCGCCATATTGGGCAAACATTTATTCCTCTATTTAATATTAAATAATTATGTTTCAGTTCGAAATTACAGATATAAAGTGATAAACAATAGTGCAATTGTGTCTAAATATAGAATTTGTGGAAGATTTAACGCAGATAAGTTCAGTTTTCCATCTTAAAAATCTAGACATACTTTTGATCATTGTCAAAATATGAATCAAATACGAAGCCCGTAGAAATTGGGTAACTAATTTGCACGATAATCACAATAAAATTTGCTGCGCAAGTAATTCAATAGCCCTATATCAAACTGTAGAAGTTTATCATATACCTGTGTATGAAATTCACAATGGCCGATATGTAAGTAAACAAGATGACTGTAATGTGAGTTATATATTCTTCACTTCGTCTATACAATACATAGGAAATAGTTTGGTTGCAATAAAGTAGAATCACGTAAGAGAATAGTTGTATAGTTGACAAAAACTGAATCTTGCACTGACGCAAATGTCCTATAGCGGCTGCAAGAGGCTTACACTTTTGTTTTATAACTGTTACCTGCAGCCCTTATACAACCTCTTAAATGACTGAAGTGTCCTATTAGGTGTGCCCATTCCGCTTGTATAGCTGTTCTAAGAGGGTTTTGCTAATGTTCTTACAGTATACAATGCTGTTTAAGGAATACTGTATAATCATTCTGGCAACTCTAATAGGAGTAGTGATAATTGTTAGTTGGGCAGTGGCGGCGAGGAAAAAGGCCAATAATGAAGGGTTGCTCATTTTTGAACGGCTTAAAATTATTTTGACGTTGGTATATTTATACGCCTCCAACACCGTTAATTCTACGCACCTATTACGTTTATAGTGGATACCAAATAAAACCCGATGCACGTCATCGATCTGGAGCTGTGCGCTGTTGCCAGAATTTGCACATTTTCTTTTAAGCAAATAAATTTAATAAAATAAATTGTTTATATATACCTACCATTTACTATAATACCATTACATTAAAAATAAATAAACTTGTTGTAAAATTAAATTCCTTTCTGAATAAAAACACCTGATTTTGGTAGTTATTCAATGATATGAGCTCTTTACATCGACTGTTAAGTTGTTTTGGCATTTTGGATACTTTACACCACTTCACAGTAACTGTTGTTCTGAAAAGAACAATTTTTAATTGGCAAGGCAACGATTCAAAGCTCAAATAGCGCAAAACTCACAAACTAAACAATAAAGAACTAATAGTACGACAAAAGGACAATGGCAACTGATGTCAACAAATGAGAAGTGGCAACCTCACATTTCTCTGCACGGCACTACCAACCGAATCGAGACGGGGAAATTTAAACTTCAAGTAGAAATGTCACATTGAATGTAGTCAACTGTTGGTAACCATGATTTTTATGAATGACATCACCTATGACGTGCATCGGATTTTATTTGGTATCCACTATACTCTTAAAACTTAGAAATACCTACAACAGTCGCGTGTCCATACATGCGACGTTGCCTGACTGATGGTTGTGCTTCATGGTCGGCAGTCCCTTCCGTGTTGTGAGCTGTATTGCTCTGAAAGTAACTATCGTCGCTGGATAAGTCATAGCAATAATGTTCATGTGCGCCCGCAGGAATTTCCTTCAGGGGAGTGGGAGAGTCATTTAATTTTTTGTTATACATGCCTAGAATGGGAAGTACTTGACGTCATTCTCTCCTATCCAATAAAAATCTCGCCTGTCGATGAATCATGTGGTATTTATTCATTTTGAATTTAAATTCCAGAGAAACTGCAGATAACCCAAAAGAATTAGTGATTTAACCCCCCAAAAATGTTATACCAAAACAAGGTTTCTGAAAAGAATAACCCAAATCACCCTGTGCGGATGATTCCTACAAAAATTCGAAAAACGTGTCGGAAACTACGAGATATGAAGCTCGTTTTGCCGAAACTTTTGCAACTACATCTCTGATGAAAATTTCTCGTCTTTATATTTTTATTGATCTAAGAAAAGCTTTCGACACGGTAAACCCCAAATTATTGTTAGACACATTGGAGACACTTGGCTTTCGGGGAAAAATGTACTCATTACAAGAAAATGACTTATCTAACAGAGAGCAATCCGTTAAAGTATCAACACTTTTAATTAACGAAATGTTTATCAAATGGGAAACAGGGTCCACTGTATATATTAATAATACATTTTAAATTGACTGTGTGGGCAAAATTATAACTTTCATATTTCATATATTTAAAAAAGATATGTCACGTGTAAAATTACATATATCAAAAACATTTTAAAACAAAAATTTCTCTATAACATATACATTACATATCATGCCTTGATCGAACCACATTTAACCTACGGTATACTGGCATGGGGAGCTGCATGCTCAACTCAAATTTATGATTTGGATATTTATCAAAAAACAATGTTTAACAAACCAAAAAATTAAACACAATCACCGCACAAGGCATAAGCTAAGAGGAAAAGTTACACCTAGACCAAATAAATATAGAACACAACGATCATATCTTTATTTAGGTTCAAAACTATACTTAAATTTACCTGACGATATAAAGGGATATAATTTTAAGAAAAGTTAATAGAATGGATTTTTTCTCTGGCAAGAGGTACAGAAATTAATAGTAAACATCAAATGATTCGTTGATTAGTTGTATCTTTATTAATATATCAATAATATGTACAATTGCAATATTAATGGTCCATGCACAGGCAATGCCTTGTATGGGCCGCTACTTTATGTTTATTTACTCATTCTTTATATTGTTTTAGGAATAAATGAATATCATTATTATTATTATTATAAACGTTAATATAGGCCTGAATGGCTTAGGCACTTATTAGATTGTACAACTGCGTGTTCTAAGCAACCGCGCGCTATAAGTTCGAAGTCGATGGCTGATTCAACAACGTGTCTTCAGTCTTCACGGTCACTTCCGTCATGTAGAGGTACCGGTGCCGCAGAGCGCTGAGCGAAGTGAAAGTTTCATACGGTACCACGTTTACGAAGAAAATATGGTGCTTTGATACGTTGTGTTGAAATGAATTACAACTTTTTCGTTGTATACGTGGCTGCTATCGTGATTTATTGTACGAATTTGTCTCAAGGTAAGTAGACTATTTATTTAAGTGTTCTCTATTTCTTGGAGGTTCCGAGTGACCTACTTTTAAAATACTGTCTTCCAGATTAACATGCTAAAAGACAGGTTAAGGTTCTCTCAAATGAATGATTTGTGATTACATACTGTTACAACTGGGCATATGATGTCTATGAGTCATATGTTATCCCACAATAGAACTAATGACGAAATGTTTATTGTTTTTAACATAAATTCATTAGAGGAGTTAGACGCCGTTGCCGCATTTGGTCATCTCCAAAGGTTAGAAACTATTTTTGTTAATCAAAAATTGGTTGGAATCATATTGCCTATTATTAAACCTTCCCAATCATAACTTAATAAGACATATTTAAAAAAAATATACAACAAACCAAACGCAAGGAAAAAAGCGCGATGATTTTTATTATATTCTCAATAATGTCTGAATCCACATAAAAAAAGCGGGGTACTGTTGCGTCTTGTAGAACTTCGAATTTCGCTGTTTTTTCACTTGAAACTTAAAGAGGTAGTCCGATAGATTATTTTAAATGAAAGAAAGTCTGGACTAAGCACGCTTTTGTCTAAAACATTTTTTCCCAAAACCAAAACACTGTATTTTTAGCAGTTATTTTCACCATTACTTCCACCATCATCTGCCATATGACGTTGACATCTGTGCATGTTATGTATGAGAGGCGCTTGCCTGCGGCGTTGCCGGATTGGGCTCCGCATTTAGGGAGAAATATGAAAAGTGGAAAATTTATAATATACATATATTAATTAATGAAATACAAAAACGAAAAACTGAAACAAACAACAGTAGCAAAATAAAAAGCGATTCTTAATAATTATAAAACATAAAATATCGATAATAAGCTAAAAAACAATAAATTGTCAATACTTATAAAAAATAAAAAACATTAGTGAAAAAAAACTTTTCCATGTAATTATAAAAAACAAATAACAAACAGTAAAATAAAAAGCAATTTTTTTATAATTACATGGAACTGTTTTTCATATTACGTCTGTTTTTACTTTTTGTTTTTGTTATCACTTAGAATAGTTTTTTATTTTACTGTTTGTTATTTTTTGTTTTTTATAATTAGATGGTATTGTTTTTCTTTGCTTTACCACTGCTTTTATTTTTTATAATTATTTACAATTTATTATGTTTTAGCTTACTACTGTTATTTTTTGTCTTATACTTATTAAGAACCGCTTTTTATTTTGCTATTGTTGTTTGTTTCAGTTTTTCCTTTTTGTGTTTCATTGATTAATATAATAAGTGACATATAAATCCGAACACCCAGTTTAAATGGTTTTATTTTAATAAAAGTTGGTAAATGTATTTATCTTACTGTAAATAACAACTGAAAAAATTTTCAGCCTTATCAGTTGGACATTCCGGTTTTTATACTGCTTTTTTTTAATTCACTAACGCTCTAAAAATGAATATTTCAGCCGCAGTAAAGAATCAACGTTGGCGGATTTTGGCTCTTGAGATCCTTTAAGATCGGTTACGATGCCTAGAGTACGGAGACATGTACGATTTCGTCAACTTAGTGAGTTTGATAGGGGCCATATAGTGGGACTTCGGGAAGCTGGACTTTCTTTTCGGGCAATTGCAGTTAGAGTGCAAAGAAGTGTAGACACTGTGGTTAGGTGTTGTCAGGCATGGCTTCGAGAAGGCCGTACGCAAAGAGCAAGGGGCACTGGGCGCCGCCGTAGAACAACAGACCGTGAAGATCGCCGCCTAAGATTATTGGCCTTAAGGGACCGTTTCTCCACTACCAGGTCCATTGCAAATGAATGGTTTGCAGAACACGGAAGACCTATTGGCATGCGAAGTGTTTACCGACGAATGAGAAGTTTTGGCTTGTTTTCATACCGGCCACACTGGGTCCTCCCTTTAACTCGAGAACACCGACGTAATCGCCTTGAGTGGTGCAGACAACGGTCCCTCTGGGATCAGGAATTTAACAGTATTGTCTTTAGTGACGAGTCTCGATTTTGTTTAGGCATGCACGATGGTCGTGCCAGGGTTAGAAGGCGGCGTGGTGAAAGGACGAATCCACAGTTTTTTGTTGAAAGACATGTTCATCACACTGTTGGAGTTATGGTTTGGGGTGCTATAGCTTATGGTTCCAGGTCACCTTTAATCTTCATCAGAGGTAACATGAACGCGCAGCGTTATATCCACGAAGTTCTAGAACCCCATCTTTTACCCTATCTTGACACCCTGGCAGATCCAACTTTCCAACAAGATAATGCCCGATCACATGTTGCAAGAGTCACAATAGACTTCTTTCAACATAATGATGTCACATTGTTACCATGGCCACCAAGATCTCCCGACTTATCCCCAATTGAGCACGTGTGGGATATGATGGGTAGGAGATTGTTCAATTTGCAACGTCCTCCTCAGACTCTAGAAGCACTTCGAGAGGAGTTGGTGGTTGCCTGGAATGAGATACCACAGGAAGACATTGACCACCTGATCAGAAGCATGCCTAGGCGCGTTGGAGAATGCGTAGCACATCAGGGTGCATCCACACATTATTAAAGGTCAAAGGGCTTTAAAGCAGTGCAATCATTTTGAAATTTTTATCATTTACTTATTATGCTTCATTAAGTACTTATACAAAATTTTATTAAAATAAAACCATTTAAACTGGGTGTTCGGATTTATATGTCACTTAGTATATAACTGTATATAGATTTTCCACTTTTCATTTTCCCTAAATGCGGAGCCCAATCCGGCAACAACGCATGCAAGCGCCTCCCATACATGACATATGCACAGACGTCAACGTCATATAGCAGATGGTGGTGGAAATAATGGTAAAAATAACTGCTAAAAATACAGTGTTTCATCCACACTTTTTTTCATTTAAAATAATCTATCGGACTACCCTCTGTAAGTTTCAAGTGAAAAAACAGCGAAATTCGACGTTCTACAAGACGCAACAGTACCAAAAAGCGGCACATAAATATTTGCTTTATTTAATTATATATAATAATTCAGTTAAAAACGGCATCAAGCGGTGATTTTTAAGTTGGAGTTATTGGATTGCAGCTTTTTCTTAAAAGGTAATCCGTGATTTTCAAAGGAAACATTGACATGATGTGGCACGTGTAGAACAAAGTTGGTAGGAAGAATCTTTAAAGAAATTCAATTGTTGCAGAGAACACACTTTTCGGTTATGCCGCATTAACATATTGGGCCAACGTGGGTCAACACACCAATGTGTGAACACTAAATCAATGTGCATTGGCTGAGCTTGGCCAAAGTTCGCGCTAAATGAGAGCATATTGGCACCAGCGTTGACTCCAATGTGTAAATGCGACATTATACATGTACTAACCAATATTCTAAATCGTGTCAACACCACGTACCATCAAAACTTTGAAAATTATATTTTTGATATCAGTGGGTTCATCTAGGTAGGACTAAGCTATATAATCAAACGATCAGCAACAATGTACGCTCATGAAAATTATTTTTTCATGACTCTCTGTAATAACCATATCTGACACCACTAATGCTTTACCAGGTAGCAACAACGCTCTGTTCATTTTTCAAGATTCAAGATTTTTCTATTTCCAGTCGTTGTGGTCTATGTATACTAAGTGACATATAAATCCGAACACCCAGTTTAAATGGTTTTATTTTAATAAAATTTTGTATAAGTACTTAATGAAGCATAATAAGTAAATGATAAAAATTTCAAAATGAATGCACTGCTTTAAAGCCCTTTGACCTTTAATAATGTGTGGATGCACCCTGATGTGCTACGCATTCTCCAACGCGCCTAGGCATGCGTCTGATCAGGTGGTCAATGTCCTGCTGTGGTATCTCATTCCAGGCAACCACCAACTCCTCTCGAAGTGCTTCTAGAGTCTGAGGAGGACGTTGCAAATTGAGCAATCTCCTACCCATCATATCCCACACGTGCTCAATTGGGGATAAGTCGGGAGATCTTGGTGGCCATGGTAACAATGTGACATCATTATGTTGAAAGAAGTCTATTGTGACTCTTGCAACATGTGGTCGGGCATTATCTTGTTGGAAAGTTGGATCTGCCAGGGTGTCAAGATAGGGTAAAAGATGGGGTTCTAGAACTTCGTGGATATAACGCTGCGCGTTCATGTTACCTCTGATGAAGATTAAATGTGACCTGGAACCATAAGCTACAGCACCCCAAACCATAACTCCAACAGTGTGATGAACATGTCTTTCAACAAAAAACTGTAGATTCCTCCTTTCACCACGTCGCCTTCTAACCTTGGCACGACCATCGTGCGTGCCTAAACAAAATCGAGACTTGCCACTAAAGACAATACTGTTCCATTCCTGATCCCAGAGTGACCGTTGTCTGCACCACTCAAGGCGATTACGTCGGTGTAAGGGTTAGAAGGCGACGTGGTGAAAGGAGGAATCCACAATTTCTTGTTGAAAGACATGTTCATCACACTGTTGGAGTTATGGTTTGGGGTGCTATAGCTTATGGTTCCAGGTCACCTTTAATCTTCATCAGAGGTAACATGAACGCGCAGCGTTATATCCACGAAGTTCTAGAACCCCATCTTTTACCCTATCTTGACACCCTGGCAGATCCAACTTTCCAACAAGATAATGCCCGACCACATGTTGCAAGAGTCACAATAGACTTCTTTCAACATAATGATGTCACATTGTTACCATGGCCACCAAGATCTCCCGACTTATCCCCAATTGAGCACGTGTGGGATATGATGGGTAGGAGATTGCTCAATTTGCAACGTCCTCCTCAGACTCTAGAAGCACTTCTAGAGGAGTTGGTGGTTGCCTGGAATGAGATACCACAGGAGGACATTGACCACCTGATCAGAAGCCTGCCTAGGCGCGTTGGAGAATTCGTAGCACATCAGAGTGCATCCACACATTATTAAAGGTCAAAGGTTTTTAAAGCAGTGCAATCATTTTGAAATTTTTATCATTTACTTATTATGCTTAATTAAGTACTTATA